AAGGGGGGGGGGGTGTTACAACCGCCCTGTTTCCACCAAATCACACCATATTACTTTCTCCCTCTTTCATATTTTCATCGACTTAGATGAGTCGACTGTCCTTTGCTTGATTTTGTTTCGTCATGCCCGATCTTTGCTTTTGTTTCTTTTTTTTTCTAGCTTCCCATTCCGGCTCTTCCCCTGACACGCTTGACAGACTAATTGATAGGGGTCTCAACCAATCTGATTCGGGTTCAGTCGAGATAACTGGTTATAGGACGGTCCATGTCTCTCCTCCTTCTTCTTCATCGCGTGTTTCTACCCCCAAGGTCGACTGGGCTGAATATGACCAGGCCTTGTTGGATGGTAGTCTTGTGGAAATAATGAGGAGTCCTCGGGAAGGCTCTCCTCGCCTCGATTTAATTCCTCGAGGTATTCCTATAGTTTGTTAGATATTCCCGTGTATAGTACAAGACCTGTACCTATTTCAATAATTACCCCTCTCGTCGATCCTCGAGAGGTTGTATCAATAGCCTGTCCTTTGGCCAAATTGGCCACTCTGAACCCTTTTTCTTATGCCTCTGCAGCTCAAGTCGAGAGTTTTAGGCAGTTTAGCGGACTTCCCTCCGATTGGGAGTTGGTTATCCCGGGTCCTGACAGCGACTTCGCCTGTCCTCCAGAATGTTGCCATACTTTCTTTGTCGACCAAGTCATTTTTGGCCTGCGCTTTCCTATCCAAGTCGAGCTTTTGGAGATAAGTGACCTGTATAGTATCCCAATAAATCAGTTTTCTCCAAATGCTCCCTGTATTATGATAGCTTTTATCGTCGTTTCTCGTACAGTTCTCCATTTTTCTCGGCCGAATTTTTTAATTACTGTTATAGTTATCGACTTCAAAAGGGGCTCGTTGTTTGATCCACCGTTCCGGCGTTACCTTTCTTGACGACCTTTCCTCAAATATCCCAGAGTGGAAGTCGAAATTTGTCTTTATTCGGCCTCCCGTCAGTGCTTATCCTTATGCAAATAATTGGATAAGTACTAAAGTTAAACAGAATAAACAGTCTCAATCCGAGAACTTCCAAAGACTATTAGAGGAGATACTTATTGCGCTCATCGTATAATAAAAGATCGTGAGCTGGTCAATCATGCGCGAATCGTTTTATATGATGATATTTCTCGACTCGATGATCCCCGTAAGCTATCTGATATTTCTCATAATGTCGGATTTGATTTCCA